TTATAAACTGAATTCTTGAGAATTCTGAAATTGCTGGACCTAGATGTTTTACAAACCAAACCGTGGACCAGAGAGCTCATATTCACAAACTGAGAACTCTAACAAATACCAGGACAAGATAGCATAGGGGTTATGAGCACAGGTGGGCAGCTTTAGAGCCGATCTTAACTCTACGTCTGTTTCCTTCTTTGTATACTGGGAAGATACCAGTATTTGCTAGGAGAATCATTGTGATGGTTAAATGAGCTAATGCGCTTTTGAGTGCTTAGCAGAATGCTTGATGCATGAGTTTGATCTCACTGGATGATCATGGAAGAAAAGATATTTTATTTTATATTTTTAATATATTTTTTACTGAAGCATAATTAATTATACACTGTTTTTTGGGTACAGCATTGACTACCATCACTGGTATGCATCATGTGATGATCCAATCAATATTATTAGCATATTCATTATTACAAATCATAATTATTCTTTGTGCCCTTTACCCAATATCTTCCCAATCCCCCTCTCCCTCCCTCCTTCCCACCTCTAGTAAACATAGATTTGTCCTCTCCTTCTGAAAGTTCAACTTATTATTGTGGTCTTTTCTCTCTCTCTTTCTCTCTCTCTCTCTCTCTCTCTCTCTGCACCCCCCTATAAGTGAGGACATGTGGTATTGCTCTTTCTGCATCTGGCTTATTTGACATAACATAATTTTCTCCAGACTCATCCATGTTCTGCAAATGGCAGAATTTCATTCTTTTTTTTTTATGGCTGAGTAGTATTCCATTGTGTATATACCACATTTTCCTTAGCTAGTCATCCATCAATGGACATTTGGGTTGGTTCCATATTTTGGCTATTGTAAATAGAGCTGTGATGAACATGGGAGTGCAGGTATCCCTTCAACATGGTGATTTCCATTCTTTTGGATATATACCCAGTAGTGGGATTGTTGGATCATATGGTAGTTCTATCTGTAATTGTTTGAGAAACCTCCATACTGTTTTCTATAATGGCTGTGCTAATTTATAGTCCCACCAACAGTTTAAAAGTGTTCCCCTTTCCCCACATTCTCACCTGTATTTGTTATTCTTGGTCTTTTTAATAATGGCCAGTCTAACTGGGGTGAGATGATATCTCAATGTGGTTATGATTTGCATTTCTCTGATGACTAGTGTTGCTGAACATTTTTTCATGTACCTATTGGCCATTTGTATGTCTTCCTTTGAAAAATGTCTACTCAACTCCTTTGCCCATTTTTCAATTGGTTATTTATTTATTTATTTTACTGTTAAACAGTTTGAGCTCCTTATAAATTCTGGATATTAATCCCTCATCAGATGTATAGTTTGCAAATATATTCTCCCATTATGTAGGTTGTCTTTTTGCTGTGTTGTTTCCTTTGCTGTGCAGAAGCTTTTTAGTTTGATACAATCCCATTTGTTTATTTTTTCTTTCATTGCTTGTGCTTTTCGGGTCTTATTCACAAGATTTTAGCCCAGTTCTACTTCCTGAAGTGTTTCTGCTATGTTTTCTTTTAGTAGTTTTGTGGTTTAGGGTTTTATGCTTAACTCTTTAATCCATTTTGAGTTGATTTTGGTATATGGTGAGAGGTACAGGTCTAGATTCATTCTTCTGCAAATGGATGTCTAATTTTCCCAGCACCATTTATTGAAGAGGGAGTCTTCAACTTCTAAAATATGCAGTGTTTATGAGAGGCAGGGAAACAGAGGGGGAAGAGGGACAGGGAAAGTCTGGTAAATAGGTTCAAAGTTACAGTTAGATAGGAAGAATACATGGTGGTGCTCTAAGGTGACACTAGCTAATAACATTGTATTGTGTATTTCAAGATAGCCAGAAAAGAGGATCTTGAATGCTATAACCTCAAAGAAATGATAAATATTTAGGTGATAGATATGTTAACTATTCTGATTGAATCATGACACAATATACACATGTATTGAAACAACGAACTGTACCCCATAAACATGTACAATAAAAAAAAAGAAAAAAAATAAATGAAACCTTCTGTTATATAAATTTAAAACAAATACAAGTATGGTCAAAGCAGTGTAATGAACTCCCATGTTCTCCACATCCAATTTCAATGATTATCAATTCAGGGAAAATTTTGTTTCATCTATACCAGAGTATCTCCACAGCAGCACTATTGAAACTTTGGGTCAGATAATTCTTTGCTGTGGGGACTGTCCTGTGCATTGTGGGATGTTTCACAGCATCCCTGGCCTCTACCCACTAGAAGTCAGTAGCATTCCCTCCCGAGCCAGGTTGTGACAACGGAAAATGTCTCCAGACACTGCCAATGTCCTCTAGGGAGCAAATTTGCCCCTGGTTGAGAACCACTGACCTATGCCTCATCCACACCAAAGGCAAGAAATGCTATTTCAGTTTCTTGACACTTGTGGCACCTATTCTTTGGACCTCTCTCCCCCTTTTGAACAGTGTCATTTTATGTAAAGCCACAAGATTAAGTTCATGATAAGCAGAAGCCATCTCTCATTGACCTCTGAACAGCCCCATGTGAGTCAGTGCTCTGTAAACATTGGGTGAATTTAATGTGTTCACATTTCTTATTAATTTCTGAAGTTGTTTCCTACAAGGAGATTGAGGTCTTGCTTCCCAGGAGGTAGTCTGCCTAATTGGGAAGGGGACAGGGTACAGCTCTTTGGGGACGAAGCTTCTCTCACCTGATCACACGCCTTCCCCTCTGGTGTCTCTCAAGCAGCGTGAATTCAAGGCTGAACTTCCAGAGATCCCACTTCTCTGTGGAACATGCAGGAGGCAAGTCTACTTCACTCTTGTTTTAAATCAGGTGGAATTAGACGCCGGTGGCTTAGTCTCAGCATTCCCAGGCCTTAGTCTGCATGGGGAGCAGATCCCCCATCTTGCAACTGCAGGGAGGCCAGAATCCTGGTTCGTAGCTTGGTCTTCTTGCTTCTCAGTTGGCTACCTGGGAAATGTGCGTGAGCCAAGGGCTGTTCTCAGGCATTATTTGCATCTCTGTGGTCAGTACAGAAACGGTAACTGTGGTGAGAAGAGCAAAGCCACAGAAACGCTGGGGTGAGTTTTGTCTTGTGACCATGGGCTTCTTTTGCATGTGATGATTGATTACACTTTGAATGAAGGGGGAACGGTGCATGAAGTGCACAGCATTTTACAAAGTTCTCTTGCATTGGTCTGGTCTTTGCGGCAAGCTCAGTGCTAGGCCCTGGGATGCAGGGATGGAGAAGGTGTGGTCTCGGTCCTTGGGGACCTTTGTTCTTTTGATATTTACTGAATACCTCCAATGTACTAAGTGCTATACACTGTGCTAAGGAGGCTGGCGATAATATTCACAGTTCATCCATCCTACTGTGTCCACTGAATGCTGTTTTGTGGCAGGCACTTCAGCAAGCACTGGAGATGGTGAGCAAGATACAGGCTTTACCCTCAGGAATCTCACACTTCAGTGGGGCAGGAGGCCACGTAAAACAATTATAATTCAGTAAGGTAAGTGCTAATTCCAAAATGTCCTGAGAGAAGAGGGGCCTCTGACCATGAGGATTTCCTATCTCTGAGAGGAATCCAAGGTGGCACAGAGGACTGGCACTGAGGTGTGGGATTTATGGCATCTCCCTGTGACATAGGTATTACTTGCATATTATTGTTTGGACCTTGAATCTATGGGAGGTTAAAGAACTTTCTAAATATCACATAGATACCACCTGAGAAAACCTGAATGTGAACCCAGGAGTCTGCTCTCTTTTGTGAATAGTTTCATGGTAAAATTCCCTGACCGATGAGAGAATATAGGGTTGATCTCTTCCCTTTCTGTTTCTGTAATTTTAAGTTTTATCAGTGCTTTCCTTCTGGCTCATGGTAGTTCTTAATCAACCAAGCCTGTCTCAAGCACTGAAGGATGGAAGCTTTGTGGCTCAAGTGGATGTCACCTGGCTCCTAGTCACAGGTGTCCTGGAATTTCACTCTGTGAAGGCTGTTGATACACACAGACCTCAGCCACCTTGGACAAAGTTCAGAAGGGACTGGGACAGTCTGAAAATCAGGCAGTGAGCAGCCATTGTGATTGTCTTGAGGTGTTGGAAGGCTGGGCTGTGGAGAAGGATGTGTCAGTGCTTGAGTGTGCACTGGTGTGTGTGTGTGTATGAGTGTGTTTGTGTGTGTATGTGCAGAGTTTAGACCTTTGTTGCTACTGGGGATATATAGTTGGAGGAAGGAAAGTTACCAGTAAAAAGAAGAATTATTTGTGGATTGAGCTGAACCCCAGAAAAGGGAAAAGGTCACCAAGTGACAAAGTATAGGAGAAAATTAGGAGAAGCAGAAATAAGAGGGGGTGCTGAGTGTCAAGGTAGGTACCCCAGGGATATAGCTTCTGAAAACTCTGAAGGTATGTGGAGAGGTTGAGAACACCGTTCTGCAAAGCAAAGATAGGAAAGAAGCAAGGAGAAGTGGAATGAAGGAAAGCTGTAGGCAAAAGACAATTAAAACCATTGGAAGTCACTAGAAAGACATCTAACATGGAGGCAGTAACACCACCCTGGCAGCCCCACATCATCCAATAAGGACACTTATTAGCTTCTTAATCAGTCTCCCCTCCTCTGGTCTACTTCCATTAGTCCAACCTCTATGTACAAAGTGATTCTACTTTCCAGTTGATAGACACTGTTGATGATTCTCCGTTGTCTGCAGCATAAATCCTAAGGTCCATAACAGTACTTCATAAACTGGTACTAGTCTCTATTTTCAGCTTTTTGGGGGCTACCTTCCCCTTTATTCCAGCCATATGCAATGCATTGCACTTGTTCTCTGTCTTCTTGGAATGCTCTTCCCTTCTTCTACACATAACTAACTCCTACTTGTCTTTCCATATCCAGCTCACAAACTTCTCAGATACGCAAGGACTTTTATGTAATTCACCCACATAACAAATAAGCCTATGTTTTGTGCCATTTCAGATCACACAACCCAAACTGCTGCCTCTTGGTGGCGACCTCATGGCTAACACACACAACGTGACTGAATTCATTTTCCTGGGACTTTCTCCCAGTCTGGAGGTGCAGAGAGTTTGCTTTGTGATATTTCTGCTATTGTACACAGCAATTGTGCTGGGTAATTTCCTCATTGTGCTCACTGTCATGACCAGCAGAAGTCTTGGTTCCCCCATGTACTTCTTCCTCAGCTACCTGTCCTTTGTGGAGATCTGCTACTCTTCCACAACAGCTCCCAAACTCATCTCAGATCTGCTGGCTGCAAGGAAAGCCATATCTCTGTGGGGCTGCATGACACAGCTTTTCTTCATCCACTTCTTTGGTGGCACTGAGATTTTCCTGCTCACCATGATGGCCTATGACCGCTACGTGGCCATCTGCAAGCCCCTCAACTACACCACTATCATGAACCGGCAGATGTGTGCCATCCTCGTGGGAATAGCATGGGTGGGAGGCTTCGTGCACTCCTTTGCCCAAATCCTCCTCATTTTCCACCTGCCATTCTGTGGCCCCAATGTGATGGATCACTATTTCTGTGACCTGCTCCCCTTGCTCAAACTTGCCTGTGTTGACACCTTCTTCATCGGTCTGCTGATTGTTGCCAATGAAGGAACCCTGTCTGTGGTCAGCTTTGGGGTCCTCTTAGCGTCCTACGTGGTAATCTTGCTCCATCTGAGGACCTGGAGCTAGCAGGGGTGGCGCAAAGCACTCTCCACCTGTGGGTGCCATGTCACTGTGGTTATGTTGTTTTTTGGGCCCTGCATCTTCATCTATCTGAGGCCTTCTACCACTCTGTCTGCAGACAAGTTGGTGGCTGTGTTCTACACAGTGATAACCCGCTCCTCAACCCTGCCATCTACTCCCTGAGAAATACTGAAGTGAAAAAGGCCATGAAGAGTCTATGGATCAGGACAATGAAACTAGGTGAGAAATAGAGGCCGAGTCTTGGTATTGATCCTCGGGTTTGGAATGATGCTGATTCCAAACTAAAGGGACAGGTTGGATTAAAGGAAGGTTCACCGGACTAGTTAGTTCTAGAGTTATTCTAACTGGTGTCCATTTTCAAAAACACCATTTAAATAAATAAAACCATTTAAATCACTTATAAAACGTTTCCTCTCATGGTCTCATGGATGCACTATAATATGACTAGCTATTTTAGATTGTTTCTAATTTTTTTATGAATATAAATAACACTGTGGTAAATACTCTTGAATAGAAGTCTTTAACTATATTTCTGATTTCTTTTATCAAAAGGTATTGTCTTACTCCTGGCACTTTACTGATTTTCATTTGGATGTTTTAAATACCTTCTGTTCCTTTCTTCCCCTTTTATTGTTTTTCTTTGGTGTTGGTTGGTTTTCTGAGGTGATAAGAGATAGTTTCTTTCTCTTTCCTGTTTGCATTTTTTGTTCTACCAGTGGACTTTGTTCTTTCTTGTGTATTCATCATGGTGATTATCATTTTTTGGATTCCAGTTACAGGAGTCCCTGAGGATTTCTAGTGGGGCTGGTTTTGTGGTGGCAAAATCCCTCAGTTTTTGTTTGTCTGGGCAATACACTATTTCTCCTTCATTTCTGAAGGATAGCCTTGCTGGGTATAGTACCTTAGTTGACAATTTTTATCTTTTAGTATTTTGAATATATCATCCCATTTTTTTTCTGGCTTGTAAGGTTTCAGTTGAAAAGTCTGCTGTTAGTCTGATGGGGGCTCCCTTGTAGTTGACTTGATGCTTTTCTCTTGCCGCTTTAAAAATTCTCTCTTTTTTGAGTTTGCCAGTTTGATTATAATGTCTTGGAGAGGATCTTTTTGGACTGAATCTGTCTGGGGATCTTTGAGCCTCCTGGTTCTGAGGGTCTGTGTCTCTCCCTATACCTGAGAAGTTTTCTGCTATTATTTTGTTGAGTATGTTTTCAATGCCTTTTTTTTTCTTCTTCCCTTCTGGAACACCTGTGATTTGTATGTTTATGCACTTAAGGTTGTCTGCTAAGCTCTCCTAGATTTTCTTCACTTTTTATAAAATTCTTTTTTTCTTTTATTTTCTTGTCCACCTGGATTTTTGAAAAGACTGTCCTCAGGATCAAAAACTCTTTCTTCTGCTTGCTCTAGTCTGCTGCTTAAGCTCTCAGTTGTGTTTTTTATTTCATTGAATGAATCCTTCAGTTCCAGGAGTTCTGCTACATTGTTTTTTAAGGTATTAATCTCTTTGCAAATTTTCTCCTGGATATCCTGGATAATTTTTCTCATCTCATTGTGCCATCTGACTGAATCTTCTTACACCTCATTGAGTTTCCTTAAAATTGTTGCTCTGTGAGGTCTGGTACTTGAGAGGTTTCTATGATTTTTTTTTTTTTTTTTTTTTTGTATTTCTAGTATCTCTACATTGATGTCTGGTCATCTGGTAGAGTAGTTGCTTCTTGGGCTACTCTG